AAGACCCAATTCAAAAATGGGCATCTGAAATGAACAGACATTTCTCAGACAAAGAAGTAAAAGCAGCAAATAAATATATGAAAAAATGTTCAACATCATTGGTCATTCGAGAGATGCAGATGAAAACAACCCTGAGATTCCATCTCACCCCAAAAAGAATGGCTGCTATCAAGAAATCAACAAATAACAAATTCTGGTGGGGCTGTGGGAGAAAGGAACCCTTTTCCATTGTTTGTGGGAGTGCAGACTGGTGCAATCACTGTGGAAGTCAGTATGGAGATACCTCAAAGAACTAGGACTACAGGTCCCATTTGACCCAGCTATTCCCCTACTGGGTATCTTCCCAAAAGAATTAAGAATCAAAAGAATCATACCACAGTGATATATGTGCACCCATGTTCATAGCGGCACAGTTTGTAATAGCTAAAGCTTGGAAGGAGCCCAAGTGCCCATAAACTGGAAACTGGATAAAGAAAATGTGTTTTTTTTAATAAAATGGAGTACTACTCAGCCATAAAGAATGAAAAAGTAGAGCCATTTATAGCTAAATGGATGTATATCGAGGCTGCACTCTTAAGTGAAATAAGTAGGACACACATGTGTAAATACCAAAAAGTTTCTCTGGCATGAGAAACTGATAGTGTAAACAAGGGTTAAAATGATTAAAATGAATAATTGATAATTTGAAATAGGAAAAAAGGTCCAAAGACGAAGGAGTGAAGGGAGGGGAAGTGGAAAGGAAAAGAGGGAAAGGAAAAACTATGAGAAAAGAAAAAAAATGGAAATGAAATCTATGTAAGTAGGGAAGGGTGGAGGGGGGTAAAGGGTGCACAGGTAATGGGGAAAAAAATAAGAACGAAGATACATCATGTACAGGTACAAGCACCCAATGATAAATGTAAATGAATTGTATACCTAAAATGTACCAATAAAATGTTCCAATAAAATTAATTTTAAAAGAATCAATGGTTTGAACTGACCAGGATCTTTGCTGATTGCTCAGCACTAGCTGTCCTTGCTCCCCATATATTTTCTCTTTAATTCTGTCTCTGAGTCTTTCTTCAGTCCTGCATAGTACACTGGGCAGGAGATTGGAATCTACTTCAGGGGTCTCCGGTATATTTTTAACTTTGTTGGATCAGACTCATGACTCTAGTAATAGATTAAAGTTGACCTCTTAAGTTACATATAATTCCTGCTCCAATTTCATAAGAAACCAAAAAAAATTTTAAAAAATCTATGAAAACTGAACATCATCATATTGTATTGGACCCACCTGAGTTGTTATATTGCAGGGAGATTGATCACCTAGAAAAATGGCGAACAGGAAGATCCAGTATTGCTGCTAATTCCTTGGTGCAAAAGTCACTGGAGGCACACAGCACAGTGGAGGAAAAATTGATATGGTGATGATGGATGGCTGGAGAACAGAAGGGGACCAAGGTGAGGGTGAGAGCTTCTTAGGTCACAAAACCCACAGGTTCTTCCCAGAGCCCTCCAGGATCTCAAAGTGTTGATCCAAACAGACCCTTAGGGTTCTGACAGTGGGAAGGGAGGACTGATTACTGAGAAATGTACCTAGAGCTTTCTCTGGACACTCAGGGAAAGGGCTTTTGTTTGTATCTACATGTCCCCCCAAAGCCTTATGTTTTCACAGATGGGCAGTTTTGAAGGTAGATGGATTAGGATATGATACTTGTGTTAAGGAGGTGATGCCTAGATTAAGGGGATGAATAAGGAAAGGCATACTCTGGGTGTTGTTGACACCAGCCAAAAGACTGATAGCCTGGATGGGATAAAAGGGAGAGGCAGACTTGCTGCAGCTTGGTGCTTGTTGCTGCTTCTACTGCTGCTTGCTGCCTGCTGCCTGCCCTGTGATGCCATGGACTGTTTTACCTTTCTGATGCCCCTCTGCCATGCCATCCTGCTTTGGAGCCAGCTGACAGTGGACTGAAATCTCTACAAACTGTGAGCTTAATAAATATTTCCTCCTTTAATTTTTGTGTCAGGTGTTTTATCTCAGCAACAAGAGTAGTAACCAAGAAAGCTTTCCAAAAAATTATTCACGGTAAATAGTTATTACCCATTTCAAAAGTTTTATTAACTAATTTCAAAAATCCAGGGGAAATACACCTGTTTCAATAGTCAAGCATTCTTATATAAATAATTTCAATCAACTATAGGGGGGAAATTGGTAGGATACTTTCTTTTCCCCAAATCCTTTCTGTCTTTGTACCTGCTGTACCAGAATACAAGTTTTCTCCTCCCCAAATGTAATGGTGTGACAGTCATATCACAGTTTTGTACTCTTACATTCAGTAATAGATAAGATAGAAGTTAAGAAAGATTCAGAAACCTGAACAAATTAGAATCCCAGTGAGCAAATCTATTTAGGTTATCATTTAGCCCAAGGCTCCACTGACTGCAGTGTTTCCGACTCTGTCCTCAAAGCCAGCATGTTTGAAACTCACCATTTTATTATTCATTTTTTCCACTGGATATTAATATCCTCAAATCTTCTGTTATTATGCCCACACTGTGTCTGTCTGAAATTGTCAAAAATTCCACTGTTGTTACACTATGTTAACAAAGTTTCACTTTTGGGTTTTTGTGGGTATTTTTTGGGTGGTATTGTTTTGTTTTTGTGTGTGTGTCTGAACCACTCTTTAGCATAGTTCTGTCATCATTTTTCTCTTCTGTCCAAATTATAATAAACCATGAGATTTTATGGGATCTGTTTCACTTCTGTAGCCCTTCTACATGTGTATGTTCTGATTTAAAAATATGTGT